CGAGCCGAACACGAACACAATTTTTGAGCTCGAAATATAAATGAGCCGAACACAAGCTGAGCATGGCTCGCTCGTGTTCGGCTCGTTTACACCCCTAATCGTAAGCATGGATCTACTATTCTCTTGAATTATGAAAGATGAAATTATAAAATTGATAATCATAAATGTACAATACTGATGTAGTTATAATAACCATAACTAAGGTACAATAAATGTAGTTCTTAATTATAATAGCGATAGTTGATCATAAATGTTTGGTTGATGTCTTGTAATAGTAGTAGTAAATGCTTAAGAAACCTTTTCAAAATTCATCCAAATTCAATGAATATAAGCTTAACCGTTTTTGGCATGTAGGCGCCAACCTTCTAGAATATCATGGTGTCTAGGTGCCAGCTCACTCTTTTTTTCCTTTGGCTTCATTTGACATATTTTGACTCATTTTTGCTCCCTTTTTGCTTCTTTTTCTCTAAAACTCTATTTCTTGTATCTAAAATAAAAAACACACAAAATATTTTTCATTAAAACGCAATATCCTTAAAAATAAGCATGAAATGCATTGATTAAAATATATAATCTTAAGCCGTGTCAGAGATAAAGTTAAGATGTGGCTAAATTATCTAGCACACGGTTCTATAACTACTTGGAACAATCTTTTCCAAAGCTCCTAAGTATTTCTCTCTATCTAAAGTTGTAAAGCTTAGGAATGATCTCACTTCTTTTACTAACTTAGATAGTGAGTCCATTTATGAAAATTGGGAGATATTCAATGAGTCTCTTAGGAAGTGCCCACAACACACCCTACCAAAATGGTTAATTAGCCAAAATCTTTGATGTCAAAATTATTTGAGGTCTATCAATGATTTACAATAACCTACTAAGAGAGTTAACCCTAGTGAGAGTGGTTAGTATTCATGATAATGATGTGTTAACAATTCTAATTTCACAAGTAACATCTATATTGAGTAAGAAAGATAATTTATGATTGAATACTTCACTAGGATATATGCCCAGTGATCATGTTGCTTATGGACAATTGGATGATCCTAGTAGTGCTTCTTTGGAGTCACTAAATGCTATAAACAATAGACCCAATAGCCTCTATTGCAATACCTATAACCATGGTTAGAAGAGTTGCCCAAATTTTAATTTGAATAACTAAAATCACTGTGTAGAAAATCAATAATGGGATCACAACCAACCTAACTCAGGAAATTGGAACAATTATGGTAAATAATACGATGAATCTTTTACCTTCCTACCCATTATTATTAACTTCCAATTTTCAATTTAAAGAAAATAAATTATCACTAGATGAAGTAGTGTTGCACATGGGAAACTAATTACGACGTTGAGCTGCGATCATAAGGAATATTGAAAGTTAATTAGAGTAAATAACTAATTCCTCAAGTATACATCCAATAAATGTTACCAAGCAACACTAATATGAATATCAAGGATCAAAGAAATGAACAATGTAATGCCCTTATATTAAGGAGTGGAAAGGAGCTAGAACAGATAACTAGGAGGGAGGCTAGTCTAGAAGAACCTGAACCCGAGCCTAAAAGAATTAAGTAAAAAATATATCTCAGCTTACAAAAAACTGACTCACCTCATTTGAAAGAGTAAGAGAGTCCACAACCAACTTTTTCTCGAAAACTTTAGAAACAAATGTTAGATTAGTAATTCTCGATATTCTTAGAGTTTTTCAAAAAACTTACCATTAACATCTCTTTTGCAAAAGCATTAGAACAAATACCTAGGTATATTAAATTCCTGATGGACACTCTAAATAACAAAAAACTAGGTGACTTTGAGACTATGGCCCTAACAAAGAAATGTAGTGATATCTTATAGAGGAAACTTCCACAAAAACTTATGGATCTATATAGTTTCACAATTTATTGTGCCATATGGAGAAATTCTTTAGGAATGCCTTATGTGATTTGGGGGCCAGCATCAACCTCATGCAGTTGTCTATTTTTAGAAGACTAAGACTAGGAGGAGTCCAATCTACCATTATAACCCTTTAGTTAGCTGAGTGTTCTGTTACCTATACTAGGTGACTTATAGAAGATGTGCTTGTTAAGATTGATAAGTTCATCTTTCTTGAGGATTTTATTATATTGGACATGGATGAAGGTGCTGAGATTTCAATTTTATTAGGAAAACCATTTCTTGCAACTGGCATAATGAATTTTTATTTGCAAAAAGAGGAATTGACTATTAAATTACAAGATAAAAAATTAATTTTTTAAATCTACAATCCTATTCGTTCACCTATTTATTCCTCTAAAGATTGCTATATATTGAAGATAGAAAAGTTGTAATAAATATTAAATGAGAAAGAGAGAGAGAAAAAAAATTTATTAAAAAAAAAGATAATTTGGGACCCCAAGTGAATGATATAGGAGAGTATCCAGAGAATAAAAATATTGGGTGGCTAATCGAGGGTTATTAAAATGATAATTTAATACTAGAGAAAACCCTTAGGCATGATAAGGCATTGGTTGGTTAAGTACATTAAACTAAGCATTATTAGAGAGCAAACCCAAGCGTTATATTATGGTTTGATATTATGTATGTTTTATCTTATGTTTTGTGTTATGTTGGCTTCAGTCAAGGTAAAACATTAAACTAACTATTTGGGAGGCAACCCAATGTATCTTCATGGGCTTCATCATGTGTATTTTTTGTTTGTTAACTTGTATTTCTTGAGTCGAGTATCACTCAGTCATGTTTCTGAGCAAAATGGCCTAGTTGCTTTACATAAATAGAAAAAACTAAAGGATGGCTCAACAACCTAGAAAAGATTGAAGGGCGCTACGTTACATTGCTATCAGGCGTCAACCTTTTCTTCGCTGAAGAGGTGGGCTTGACGCGAGCTATTGTAGTAGGAACAACTTGATGTGTCTTTTAAGGGGGAGGGCACAACGCAAATGTCTTAGTGGGTGTGAGATAACCTATGGTAATATGGATGAGTTGTGACCCACCCTTAATTACGAAATTATTTAGTTTCCTGGCTAAAAATTTGACCTAGTTTCTTTAGGTCGTTTGTGTGCAAAATGGATATGTTATAGAATTTAGAATTTGATTTATATTTCACACACTAGGGATTTTACGTAAGTGCAGGTGTCATTCAAGGAATACATGGTTTTCTTTAAAACGTAAAGTATCGATCCCACAGAGAAGCAAGGTAAGAAATTATTTAGGCTAATTCTAGTCTACTACTATAAGGTCTTAGTTTAGAAAGTTGATGAAAGATCTTTTTATAAATACTACTTGTAACTGCAACCTAAAATCTAAAGATAAACCTAACTAGAAAAGTTGGTTTAGGAAATTATGAGATGTAAAAACTACCTTTCTCTTGCGGCAACTTAGAAAGTGTATGAATGGAATGTTTATAATCTAATGTGGCCAATGTCAATAAAAGCAATCCTATTATTTACCCTCTTCTGAGTGCATAAAGAACATTGACTAACCTAGCGTTATGCTCCTGAATCAAATATTATTCTTGATAGGTTCTAGCCGCTCATTTCTAGATTACCCACTGTGCCCTCTCTTTAGGACTAACCGGTCCTTAAGATCTAAATTTTTGTGTTCTAGGTTAAAATATTTTGTTTAAAATGTTTTATTTTAGCACGTTTGATTTAAATGGCTTAAGATGTTTTAAATTATTTTGAATTATTTTGATTTTATCTTAAAAAATGGTTTACATTGTTTTTAAGTTGTTTTAAACTAAATTGTTTTAAATCATTTTTAAAAAGGTTTAAGATGGATTTTTTTCTTGAAGTTATTTTATCTTATTTTTAAAAGATTTTATTAAAATACTCATGATAAGAAACTACATATGAGAGGCTCCCCTCCTCCTTTTCTTTTGGCCATTTATTTATTTGCAGGTGCTTGACATATGAAAAGAAATATACATGAAACATATATTAAACTAAACCATACATGAAACATACCTTGCACTAAACTACACATGGAATATGTAATGAACTAAACTACATATGAAACATGCATTGAACTAAATTGCACATGGAACATGTTGTATACAAGTCACACATGTTATACATGGATTATTAGGTTAAGCTTGTGGCT